TGGATTTCCAGGTGTCGTTTCATCTAGATAAATCAGCAGCTTGAGTGCACCGTCCCTGGTAGCACGCACAGCTTCCTTTAAGGCGCACCCAAAAGCAGCCGAACGATTGCAATATTGTTGAAGTAGTGCCGGAATATTCGTTACAGAAACTGCATGCCCTTCCACCTGCAAAGTCTTGATCATGTTTTTTTGTATTTATTGCAAATGTGAGCAGCAGCATTCTCAACACTCTGGCATGCCTGCTTGTAAGCTTCCTCATCTTCCAATGCGTCCAAACCACTCAAAGAAGCAAAAGTTTGAGCAGCCTGGGCCACTGAGCAATGACGCGACCCAACCAACCGAGCAATCTTGGCTTGGCGATCCTTGTCCTCAATGGAGCGCTTGGCCATGTGAATATCAATGTGTGAACTGAATGACAAAGTATATTTATTGTGTATTTTAATCTATAACATGTTTAAACGCATAGTTAAATGAGTGTTATAGATGACTGTTGGTTGAAAAGCACTACAATTTCATACATGATCCATGGGTCCACTGGGAAATGGCTGCGGTATCACAGAACAACATCAGAGCCGCTAGACATTATATCCAAGGTGCTAAATTGGTGCATGAAACACAGACAACAAGAAGCTGTAAACATACACAGACAGCAAGAAGATGTAAACATTTGCTGAGCGTCCCGAAGGCCGCTTATTTGTTTTCACCAGGCAGGCCAAAGGCAAGGTAGAAGCAAGGTTCATCCCTCTTCTTTCAGAACTACCACCACTCATTGCGGTATCTGAAGCACGATGGCGTACAGCCTGGCTTGTATCTGCATTTGGGGCATGCTGAAGGATACCGTTTCAAAGCATCTTGAGGTTTGGCACTGGGCCGCTTCATGGCAGCAGCAGGTCGCTTCATGGTAGTAGAACCAACAGGCTTTTTTGGCTTGGCCTTTGAGGCAGCCTTTGCTTTTGGTTTGGCTTTTGGCTTCGGTTTTCCTTTGGCCTTAGCCTTGGGTGTTGAACCCTTGCTCTCATTGAGCTTTTCACGAAAAACTTCCGCCATTTTGTCCACACCTGACTCCCTTTTTCCAAGCGCCCTGGGAACCTTCACTTCAGCCTCTGCAGCCTGTGCAGGAGGCTGCAACTGCTAGGCTGCAGGTTGTGACATTGGCTGCATTGTGTTTGCAGGCTCTGCAAGAGGCTGCAACTGCTGGACAGCAGGTTGCTGCGAAGCAGGTTGTGAAGTTGGCTGCATTGCTGGCTGTGAAGCTTGCTTCTCAGGCTGGCATGCAGGCCCATTGGCCAAAGCAAGCATTCCTGTGCCAACACTTGGCACTTGGCCTAAATCCTGTACACGACGGGGCTCTGGGTGGAAGATCTGCAAGTTGCGCAAACCATTTCCAAATGACATGTTCTGAATCCCCACTTGCTGTGACACTGGTGGAGTTGCAACCATTGGACTCACCCTCTCTCGAATCGAACTTTGGATCATGTGCAGGATTTGCATATCCATTTGAGGATCTGCTCTGGCCTCCTGAGCGAAGGCACGATCTTGCCATTCCTTGGAGAGCTCGTTCGGGTTCAAGGGCAGGTCAACCACGTATGAACATCCAGGACTTTGATCACTCACGCACGATAGCAACTTTTTCAATTGCGCTTTCACCTGGATGTACAACTGGTGCTTCTGAACATCATCAAAGTTGCGGTGTTGGTGCCAAAGAAGAACCGCTGTGATCATGGAGCATGTTTTCTCGCTGGGAAGTCGAAGGCCCAAATTAGCAAGGTGCTTTGCAAGCATTGCTATCAAAACTGCTGGCGCATGTTGACCAGAAAGCAAAGCGAGCCAAATGGACTGTGTCAAATACATGGGAAAATTCACATAGTTTTGTAGAGGTCTTCTGCCCTTGGCTTTCACTTGATAATCCGTCCACGGCATCCTTGCAATCCTCACAACCAAGGCGCTCACCTCCTCAATGTTCAGGTTGGGCATTCCGTTGATCTTCGATCTGCAAAGCTCGAACTGCTTCTCCCGGATAGAATCATACCCACTATGATTCTGCATCGCCTTCAAGAAGCCATCCACTGCTCCCAAGTGTTGCAGCAGCATTGCGGAGCCCAGGAATGCTTGACAAGCAATGTTTTTACACAATGTTCTTTTAGATTCCATCTGTGCAGTGTTTGGTGCCCTCAGTTTGTGTTTGTGTGTGTGTGGGTGGGCCTGCCGTGTGTTTGATTGAAGATCAAACTGGTTTCCCCGAACAAAACCCTTTGAGCAGGCAAAACGCATGCAACAAGACGTGCATTGAACAACATCTTCAACAAATGAGCCCTTGTTCGCCTTGTTTTCAAAAACTAACACCTTCAAGCTGCTGTGTTTACTGTTGCGCTTTGCTTCTGTGGTTTCAAAGGCCACCAGAAATAAGTAAAAATAAGTAGAAATAGGTAAAAACATAAGTAGAAATAAGTAGAAATAAGTACGTTGGTAAAAGTTAACTATTTCTACTTATTTTGGATAAGTTAGATCAAGTAGCATTGGTGCAGATCTTGCACTTATGGAACTTATGATTTAATAAGTTGAACTTAAGAACTTGTACTGCAACTTATAGTACTTGTAGTTGTACTTAAAGTTTCTTAATGTACATCAAGTAAGTACAAAAGGAAGTAGTCAGGAAGTACAGAGTTTGGCAGAGCGGTAATTGACCAACATCGTCGAAGTTTGCTGGACACACATACAATCTGGGAACGTTTGTGGACGTTCGATGGAGCGGTCTCCCAGAAAACACAGCCCAGAAGCTTTCCAACCTTTTCAAATTTTGTTGAATCCCTAGACTTCCAAGACTATTAAAAAATATCTAACTAATATCGTATAAGCCATGTTTGCTGACCCTCCCTCTCCATACACACCATCCATTTGTCCGTGAAAACAACTTCAACGCGCCGGGCGCGCTTGGAGGCAGGCCCTTGTTTTTTCTGGGCGAGGACTCGAACGGACAAGATTCCCCGCCGATCTGCCAGCCAGGAGCCCGAAAGCGAGGTGGCTCGAGCAACCAGAGCAAAGCTCGACCGCAAGAACGAACGCCTCCGTAAAACAGCACGGGCAGCGAAGCGTGGCGCCCCCAAGCTGGAGGCAACAGAGAGATGAGCTACCGTGACAAACACACCCGGGCGCCGAGGCGTGTGGGCAAAGTCGACGGCTTCTTCTGCGGCGATCACCAAGTCTTATGCACTTGCAGCTAGCTCTATATCAGCACACAACACAGCACCACATGACCACAAACACAACCACAAACACACAATCACACACAACCACACACACAACCACAAGCACGCAATCACAAACACCCATTCACAAACACAACCACAACCACACAATCACAAACACACAGCCGCAAACGCACAATCAGAAACACACAGCCACAAAGGCAACCGCAAACACGCAATCACAAGCACAATCAAAAACACAGCCACACACACAACAATTGGAGACCCTGGCGACAGGGTAGCACTTTACCCTGGCGACACCTCGACGCGAACTCCTTAACATTAGAAAATAGCAATCCCAAAAACGAGGGCCCACAAGCAAAATCCAAAACCACAAAGCCCACGACCATGGCAACACGCTCCTCACCACGCATGAAAACTAGGTTTCCTTTCATCGAATTCCACTTAAACTTTTCTATTTCGATTCTAGGTCAATGTAATGCAATTTTGCTTTGATTGTAGCTTAACGCTAATTCAATGTAAATTCGATTTTGATGCGAATTTAAACCGGACAGTTCTCATATATTTCTAATGTAAGCCGAGTTCAACTCTAATTCAAGTCTAATCTAAGTATTTTACAAGGTATTTTTTACAAGGTTTGACTTCAAATTAACAGAAGGTAAGAAGATAAGTTCAATTCAAATGTAGTTCTAACTTGAATCCAAAAGAACTTTAATTCAATATACAATATTGCAATATGTTTCTAATTCATTGTTTTTAGACTTTCTTTCTAATTCAAATATTTACTTCTTTTCACTTGTAATTCAGGTTCAGCCCATCGTAATTTCGTTCCTATTTGATCGTAGTTCAACTCGAATGTAACTCATTTAGTTTTGACTTTACTTCTATTTAAACTTTAACTCAGCGTTATTTTGAACCAATGTGTTTATATTCTAGGTTAATCATGCTTTATTCTCAGTTGTGTCTGATTCCTGTCTAATGCAGTTCTATTTCAATGCAGGTTTCGATTCAATGCAAATTGAACTCCATTCAAGTCTAATTTCATTCTAGAGAGCGGGTGTTGCCGGTGGTGTGATTTTAAGCAAACAAGTGCTTCCAAATTGAAAACTATATGTAGATTTTGTTTTTGAAAAGCGACGCCCGCCCTCTAGAATTTAATTTGAATTGCATAAAGCACGACATGGGAATTATGTAGTTAATTATAGTTGAGCGGCGGAAGAACTAGCTAAAACTAATAAGTTTAAATTGAATTAGACGTAGATTTGCATTGAAATCAAATTAGAGTTGATTTTATTGGACACAAATTTAACTACAATAGAACTTTAGAGATTTGAATTTTGAAGTCAATTAGAACTGAATTGGTATTAGGTCATTTAAGATTTGCCATCCTTTGCCTTCTGACCCTGATGTGCTTACTAAATTGCATTCAATATGAAGGAACACAATTTACAAGATGACTGTAACAGCAAGAAATATGGTTTTGCATGGGGGTTGCATGGAATTATACAGACTACATCCAAGAGTTTCTTTGTAAACACCTGACCTTGTGGATTTATGACACCGTTTAGTACATAGTTGAATGACACAAAATATGCTTACCAGTGCAATTTGTTCACATCTGGGATCATTTCATTCTACCGCTCACAACAGGCACTTCTCCATATTTTGTAATACTTTTGGTTCGTTAAAATACCAGGTCATGATCCCCTCACCCCAGACTTTCCTGTGTTCGACGAGGTTTTGAGCGAATTCCGTCCGACATGCTTCCAACATTGCTGTCCTACATCGACCAAGGCCTCCTTGCTGCGACATCGATTCGGCCTCGCGAGCCCGAAGTGGAGGAAACCTCAGAAGAGAAGAAACCTGAAGTGAAGGTTCAGCAATGTGACCTGGCGAAGAGATATTCCCAATGTGACCTGGTTCAGCATATCAGTTGGACCCCAACTGAAGGCTTTTGACCCTGCGAAAAACGCAGGGGTTTGGACCCTCAAAATCATCACTGAGGCTGAGGGTGTTTGAATGTTTTTGATTTTTAGGGCGGTTATAGGTCTGGTTGGCAGGAAGTATATTTGCCGGTCCGGAGAATGGTTGGATTCCCGCTGCAATGGTCAATGTGAAGCGATGTACATAGGGCAGTGTCCAAGCAGGGAGACACTACGGCCCTTTTGTTCGATTGGAAAGCGATGGAAAAGGACAAATCCAACGAAGCAACCCTTTCCCAAAGAATCCTAATAAAGTATATATACCCGGCCTCATTGAAGCTCTGCGGTATATGCACCACTACCGGGTTTTCTGGGTTTCCCATTGGTGACAGGGAGAGGTGGTGATTAAGCATGCCTGGGTGCGTGTCGGGCGGGCATCGGAGGCCAAATCTATGTGGGGTTTCCAAAGGTGTCCAAAAAAATCGCAATCTGATGCGGAACACCCTGTACTGAGAAACATCCAGGGTCATCAGGGTCATCTCAGACTCAGCCGCCTGAGAGTATTGCCCAGGAGAAAACACTCCCAAGGTTGGAAAAGGCTTCCAACTAGCATTGCTTCGGTTGGTGCTTGGATGTTTTCGGGGTCGAAGTAGCGGCGCTGAGGATCTAGGGAACCCTAAGGGTTGGAGCTCTTTTCAGCCAAACGAGTTCCTCACGACGCTTCTATCATACTAGCGATGGACTCCAACCTACTAGCGATGGCTCCAACCTACTAGCGATGGCCTCCAACCTAATAGCGATGGCCTCCAAACTTGCAGGGATCTCCATGGCGTTTTGGGGGGTATCCACTGACATACAGTGGTTTCAGAGTAGATGGCACAGTCCCCAAAAGGCGCAAAAGGTGGTTTACCATCATCAGAGAAACATTTGCGGGTTAGTGCCATCTACTGCGAATCCACTATAGAGGTGTGTGTTCGGTGAGTAAACACATGACATCGAAGAGATATCCTGTGTTCTACCTCTACCGGGCGAGCAAGGACAAAAATTAGAAGCCACCGGAAACCACGACGATCCAGGAGGATCGAAAAGAATTTTCCCATGCATTTTGCGGATCCAGGGTATAAACATGTGTAGCAAATTGCTTGCCAGCACTCCCAGCTACAACAGAATTGCCTCCCTCTTTCAACGACCAAAAGGAATTAGCTGCGAGAGGTTGAAGGACAACGACCAACGCCCCCACCGGAGTCGGCCTGGAGTCGATCGTCGGAACCATGTCATGTCCGGTCTTACCATTTTCATGGGGTCATGTCACTCATGTCATGTCCCGTGTTCTAAGGTAAGAACTGGAGGGTCCCATCTAGCCATCTCCAAAAACCATCTCTAAACCTTAAATTGCTGGCAGAAAGGACATTCAGTGACTCATCTCCAAGTGGGAACCTTCCAAGGGCACCCACCGACCCAGATCTTTGCAGATCGCTGTTGTAAAGAGTTCTAGCTGTTGAACCTGAAGGTCCTTTCCTTCAAGGTCTAAAGCTGGTCCTTCAGCAGCTTCGAGTGCCTTTACAACTCGCGCTGCATGAAGGCCAGCGACGTCCGACACATCCGACCCGTCCGCCGCACGGCACGGCGCGCCCAGAAAAGCAGGTTCTGGTGTCATCTTTTCAGTCTTTCAGGTAGCTTTTCTCGATATAGAGGTTGGTGTTGATAAAAGTTGATCGATTTGATGATTTACTAGCATCCTCCAGTCCAACAATCCTCTCTATGAGACCTGTTGGATGATGCTAGTACTTGAGGCTTGAGTCCACTTGAGGCGTCAATTACGGGGATTTCTCGTGCACAGATCTAATCCGATCTGCAGTCTCAGAATCAGAAGGGATGAAAGGACCAAAGTTGGATACATCGAGATCGCCTCGCTTGTTCAATGCACTCGAACCGTAACCCTCAAATGTCCATCAAACCTCTTTGTGGTCTCCTTAGTTGCACGCCGCCCGCACACCGTTTTAGAAAAGTGCATAAAAGGAGAAAACACCTTATAGCTACAGCATCGCTAGCATAAAACCCAATGGACTTGTTTTGGAGGACGCTTGACCCTCAGTCAGAGCAACGCCCCTGAATTCTTGGTTGGCTTTTGGAGTTGCCAAAAAAGCAAGTCATGCTGGCGCCTTTTCCGTCGAGTTCATCGCAGTTCCGGGCAGAGGACGACCCACGGAGCAGATCGACCGCGCATGCCGCCAGGCGCCGATGGGCAACTGCTGCAGCAACGAATCCAGCAGATTTGGCAGCTGCTGGCAGGCGGTTTGGTTTGTTGGCAGGCGGTCACTTGGGTGGCCAAGAACAGAATTACACCACCGTAGACCCCAAACTGTTTGTGTTTTTCAAAACCGAAACTAGAGCTTGCGACGTCCAGAGCTGGGAGACAAAGGATTGCAAGGCAGAGGCGGCCACAGCAGCCCGGAGCTGGGAGACAAATGTAAAGGATTGCAAGGCAGAGACGGACACAGCAGCACAGTGCGGGGGGACACATCTTAAGAAAGAATTGAGAAGCCCTAACAGTGAACATGAGGCTGGTCATGCTGCCCAATCAACTGGGAGCTGATCACGTGAGGACAAGAAATAAAAGCATGAGGAGCGAAGGATGTGACATGAAATTGAATTTTGGTGCCTGACGTATGCCCTCCGCTGCCACGCCGCCGAAATCCAATCCAGTCATTCATCCAACGCTTGCCCGAAAAGGAAAACAAATCTGAGAGAGTTACACAATGTGGCAGGAATGCAATCCCGGAGACAGTCACGCACCCCTTTCAAAGGAGCAAGAACCTTTCACAGGTGAACCTGTTCCAGCGGACAGGGCAGAAAACCGCCGTGCAGGCACCAAACCTGAAAAACAAAAAGAAAGAAATCACATGGGAGACAAATGAATAGAAATGCTACATGGCCAGGGAAAAGGGCGGCAGCGCCAGTGACAGACCCGGGAAACAAATTAATAGAAATGCTGCATGGCCAGCAGAAAAGGGCGGACACCAGCAGTGACAGACCTGGAAAAAATGAAAATAGAAGTGTTGCATCGCCAGCGGAAAAGGGCGGACACCAACAGTGACAGACCTGGGAGACTAATGAATAGAAATGCTGCATGGCCGACGGAAAAGGGCGGACACCAGCAGTGACAGACCTGGGAGACGAATGAATAGAAATGCTGCATTGCCTGCAGAAAAGGGCGGACACCAGCAGTGACAGACCTGGGAGACAAATGAAGAAACGCTACATGGCCAACGGACAAGGGCGGACATAGGAACCCGACCACACAAGCACCCAGCCTAGCCTGGGAGACAAATGAAAAAAGAACTGGGAGACAAATGAAAGGAAGTGGGAGACAAGCCGGCCGGGAACCCGACCAGCGGATTGGCTTCAAGACAAGACGTGGAGACATGTCGAGACACCCAGGTAAAACCGACGGAGCGTTACGACCGAAGGCTTGGAAAAAGCAGCCGATTCGGAGGATACTGTACCCCATGTAGCATATATATATATATACATAGGCAAAATAAACGATCACCTGATTCACCAAAGCAGGCAAAAGAGTATTGGCGAAGATGAACACGCTTCACAGTGATGTTGACTTTGATCGATTCGATTGATCGATTGAATTAAGCGGTCTTTCTTCATTCTTGCAACATATTGCATCATTTTGCCATTGCTTTTTGGGCACTGTCGTCCGAGACTGGGGAAGGTTGCCACACTTTTGCCAGGGTTCTCCAAAACCGAATCAGCAAATAAAAGGATCATACAGGAATCGCACATTTAATTTTGAAACCCCAGATGTAAGACACTGCAAAACCATTCTGGCAGGGGGTTATTGATCATTAGTCAACATTTGGAGTGTGTGAATGTTTGCTGTCCTGCTGCTCAAGCCGCCTTGGCCAACGTTCTGTTTCAGCGGGGTTCCGTCTCCTGTGAGTGTCGCAGTGGTGTCCCACACACACAAACACACACACACACACTTAGATTGACGCTCGCAAGAGCTAAATCAGTTAAGGCAATCCACTCTAGTGAGTACAATACAGGTGGACACACACAAAAAGCCGTCAATTCGGTGCACGGTCGTGAAATCGTCACGTGTCGACTGATGATTACTAAGCTGCATGAATATGTGAATACTTAGCCGCATTGGGGGGTGAAAGGAGTGCGTTGACTAAACGAGCTTGGATGTCCACCTAAAAAGCCTGAGAGAAAGAACAAGACAAACGAAAAGGCAAGAAAAGAAGAGAAAGGTGCAAGGGGGTGCCGGGGTGTGGGCGGGGTGTGCATTGACTATACGAGCCTAAACGCCGGCCTAACAAGCCTGAAGGAAAGCCCGGACAAACGAAAAAAGGAAAGAACCGGTGCAGGGGGTGCAGGGTAGGGTTGGGGTGGAGGGCCTGGCGAATTCTTATGCATTGGTCATGCACTGGCCCGAAGGCACTGGCAAAAGAAGCCGTCATCGGCGCTCAAAAACCTCATTTAGACTCAAAAGCCTCTAGAAAACGAAATAAACACCCGGAAAACGAAGAGCAACAGCAGGAAAGAAAAACCAAAAGGACATGTGAATACTTAGCTGCATGAGAATACTTAGCCGCATGAACATGTGAATACTTAACCGCATGAGAACACTTAGCCGCATGAGGAAATTCCGTGCTGGATTTGATCTCAGTAAGCCCTGCGGCGTGTGATCAGCTTTTTTGAGCGAAACAGTGGATCAGGGGGGTTACGAGGAAAGGATCAGGTACAGCACGAGGGATCAGGAAAGATCACCCTTGAGGGTATGTGCACATGCTGCGCCTCTGGCTGGGGATCACACCACAGACCTCAGTGGGACCCTTGGCGATACACACTTAATCACACTTAGATTGATGCTCGCAAGAGGTAAATTAGTTAAGGCAATCCATTCTAGTGAGTACAATACCGATCTAGAGCGCTGGAACCGGAACCTGAACCTGTCCACGGCCATGTGCAGAATGAGAAGGTCAGCCTAAACAGTATGGTTTAAACCACTGCACTGAGGAAACATCTGGAGGTATGTGACTCTGGCGTCCCAGAGTCATTTCACAACACGATGGAAGGGTCTTCGTTGGGCAATGCCTTCCAAAGTGTTCATTGCCCCCTGCATCTGGCGGGTACTAACTTACAAATTCTTATGCATTGGCCTTGGAAGCAGGCGTGGACACACACACGACTCACGACACAAATGGTTCACTATGAAGTCATAGTATGTGATTGTTTTGTTGCCACAACTCTTGTGCTATCATGAAATTATTTGTATCATGAATCATGATTGTTTTTTTTTGTCGGGTGCTTCCATCAGACATGCATGTGCCGGTGCACTGTTCAACCACCTGTGAGTCACAGAGTGTATCCTCCGAATTTCGCCATGAAAAACACCCAGTCGTCTTACTGAGACTCGCCCTGTGTGGGTCTTCACACCTCTCTCGCCTTCCTAAACGCAGGCCTGGATCAACAATTGGAGCAACACTTCACCGACCGCGTTCTGGAATCACTGGGCTCTGCCTCCAAGGCGGAGACCAAAAGGGAATCCGTGCGACGCGACCCAGACTCACCACAGACACGACTTGTTTGGGACTGGCAGTCTTGACTCCCGATCAGGCCAGGGGTGACTTGGGGCCAATATAGGAGATGCGCCCAATCCTCCAAATGAGGAAAACATACTGAAATCTTTGAGGTATTGTATTTTACCCGTTTTGCTCTCTTTTAGTCACATACTTCAAAAGGACCATTTTAGCATACGTTATCGACTGTGACAGCTACACTTGGAAGAACCCACTTGTCCGAATGTTGTCCTTGCAGACACTTGATCCAGTATTTGCAGTGGCCATGACACAAGTTGCTTCTTTTGCACAACCCGAGAAGATACTTGGCTGTTGCCCCTAATTACTTACAGTTGTCCTTGTATTTGCCACAGAAGGCTGCCTGCCAGACATTTAATCCAACAGAGCCTTGCAGGGCTCTACCTTGTAGTGAGCAATGCATCCATCCAAGTTGGCCAAGTCACCCAAAAACCACGGCTAGCCAAAACGCATGCGGCATCTTCACCATGTTTCCTTTTGTTCAATCCGCCGATTTCGAGCAAAAGATGGCTGAACTTGTCCCACCAAACAAAGCGTGGCCCAAGCGAATCCGCTGAGATTTATCCACCTTTGGGTTTCGTGAGGATGTGCAATGGTGGAGACTTGCAAACTCAATGAATTATACAATGAATTTAGTTTTTCAATAACCACCAGCCAGTCGTCGATTGTCGTCATGTCTTTGTGTGTGTTGCTGCTGTTGCTGTTGTGTTTTGGTCCTGCCAGTCGTCGTGTTGCCATGTCTCTCTCTTTCTCTTTCTGTCTCTCTCTCTCTCTCATGTTTTTGTTGTTTTGTTTGGTCGTTAACTGAGCAAATTCGATGCACAGTTGCCGCGGAAGAGATGCATTCTTTGGCAGTTGGAATGGACCAAAAATGGTCGTTAACTGAGCAAATTCCAGATACTGTGTGCAAGAGAGTGGGTTCCAGCATGTTCTTCCCAGCACCCGATCTCATCGAATTGTTGGTCAGGTATGACTGCCTACCTGCCTACAGGTATGCTGAAACATGCTGAAACATTGACCCCTTTTTCAACCACCCCAAGCCGTGACCATTGTGGGTATCAAGAGGGTTTTTCTGGGTCCGTGAAGCGGTTTGGACGGAGACCACCTCGTGAAGCGGTGTGGACGCACGACGACTCGTCCGGTCGGCACGGTTGGCTTTGACCGGCAAGCCATGGTGACACAGAGCACATAAGGAGACTAAGGAGACCATAGTCCAATGATGAAATGGGTACTATATGGTACTAGTAAGTTACGCAGATGCGTCTGAAACAGTGTGCTTATATGTGCTTTATGTAAGCTGCTGTCGTGATGTTGTTTCATTCATGAAGGATATTTGTTTTTTCTTTAACGACGTTTGTTGCTTTGTGTGTTGAACATGCCCCTACCTTCTCAACATCAGTTCCTTCTCGGCGTGGTCAATGCATCTGTGAACAAAGACATTTGTGTGTTTTCAAGACCAGTTCATAATACTTCAGACTTTCAATACGACACACACACACAGAGATCGATATATGATATATAAATCTAACTTGTTGATCATGGAGCAGAATCCTTCAAGAGCCAGTAGTCCTGGTGCATATTGCCATGTCTGGTAGTCTTTTCATGGCTATTCAGCTTGGTAGATGTGTGCACAAACCATGTCATCAAGCATCATCAACCTATTTCAGACCTTGGTGAGTTCCTGACCCCAACCATGACATGTCCTGTCTATACAAATCCAAACAACCAGTTCATTATACAAGTCCATAGGAATCCATTTCTGTTTGTTCCGTGGGGCGAGCTGTGGATCGACACCTTTTTCGCCGTCAGGTGGACCTTGTCCTGGGCCATCGGTCGGACTGCCATGGGTCGTGAGTGAAACAGAGGGTGAAGGAGGGTAAGAGGATGAGTGAAAATCTGCTGGAACATGCTGGAACCAGTGCTGGAACCCATCTTTTTAGAATCCGTCTAAAGTTGTTTTGTTCAAATGTTCAAATGTACATTTGCCTTTTTATGTGTCGTTTTGGAGAATTAAGGGATGAGTTTTTGTAGGAGATCATCCGGAGTTTAGACGGATGAGCTTACGGCGTTCAGTTGTTGATACGTTGTGTGGATTATGCTTTTGATGCCTTTTACACACCACTCGTATCACGAAAAACACATTGCTGTACGTAGTACTTCGATATACGATTACATCATGCACCCGAGCCACTTGCCGTTGAAGTTGCCTATAAAAAGGTCACCCCGTTTTCAAGTATCGTCGTTTAAACAACCAGCTGTGATCTCCTTTCTGCGAAAGAGGGGATTTCTCGTCCTCCCACTCTCCGCTGACCCGACCAGCTCCTCCCCCGCTCGTCCCATCCCAGGACTGGTGGCGCCTTCGGGGCGAACACGAGTTCCGCCGTGTCAGCACGGATGGATCGCGGGTGAGCCCCGCCATGAAGGCGACCGACGTGGGAACGGGAGAACGGGAGGCGAATGGGCGGCAGAGGAGGAATTGGTGAGGAAGCCCCCAAGTTTATAAGATATTTAACAACACTACCGTGGCTAAAAGAACATGATTTCTGTAACAAGTCGACTTTGAATGACTTTCTACGTTTTAGGGGCCTGGGGTGAGTTCTTTAAGATCTCTTTAACCTGCATGATATATACATCAACTTTCAAACTACCTGAATTGATGTTTGCAAAAGAACGAACGTTGCAGGAACGGTCAGGGACGTTTCCCGTTTCCCGTTTTCGCCTTGCAGCAAGGCGAGACACTATGTGGATGCATTATGTATAATATATATTGTATTATTAATAGTAATCGTAATACACTGTAATTAATATATATATATATATACACATAATTACTTTATTGACATGTAGGGTGACCACTTGGCTGAATATATGTGCTGATTGGATAGAAACATGACCCTCGCATTTTCAGGGGAGGTTCTTGTCCTCAGCGAACGGCTCAGCCCGGCTTGGTCTTCACCTTCAACTTGGTTTCGAGCATCCAGCTTCCCGAAAAATCCCGGGAGATTGACCCAGTCGTACGACGCGCGCCTTGCGATCACGCCCTCACAGGAGAGCCCCCTTCGCCCGGAAGTCTTCGAGGCAAGCAGCGGTTTGTTTGGGGGAGGCTGCCTATCCCTTTGGCCAGTTGTTTGAGTGGATTGTGCGTGTGGGCCAGACACCAAGCTAGGCGCCCAAACATGTCAAGCCAGATAAAATACCACTAGAACAAGAGAGCTACACAGCTACATTTTGCAAAAGGCGGTACAGGATGTGGTACTGTGGGTGAACGATTTTTGTTGTCCGGTGTCCTTGTTTTCACCTGTCGACATGCTTCTTTGTTGATAGTTTTTGAGGGTGAGGGTGAGGTTTGCCCTGAAGTGTCAAGCTCTGGATTTTTCAGGATTTTGTGTGCAGTGCTTGCTGCTAGGGAGAATCTGCCAGAGGCCCCGGCCGGATCTGGTTTGGGAAGATTGATGCCTAGCCTAGAACCAGGACTTTTTGGAGTCCACCTTTTTTAAGAGGCTAGAAGAAGAAGGAGAAGTGGAGATCACTACGGAACCATGAGCGGAATAGCTGTGAGCAATAGATGATGCCTGGGGTTTTGGCCCACCGACAAGTGGGTCTCTCAATGTTCTGAGCCACTCAATGTCCAGCCAAGCAGACATTTCCCTCTGAACCATTCACGTGGTTCCACGTGTGAGAAGCAGCTCTGTTTAGACCAAAAGCACAACTGAACGTTCAGACGAACTTGGAGCCGTGGTCCACCATGCAGCTTCACCCTTCCTGGACAACAATGAAATGCACTGCTTCAAAAGCCCGTCGGCTCAAAGGCCGACATACCCAGGTAAACACTCCTAAGGCCAAGCGACGGACCATTCTTGAGCTTCAATTTCCTGAACCTTGCAGGGGATCGTTGCCTGGGAGGTCTCCCTATAGGACCCATATTAGGTTCTTTCCCAAAAGCCCAAATGCCAAAGATGGGCTGGTTTCGTCATGGCACCTCCCTCACCCAAAACGACAGGTGAACACCCCATGGTAGAGGAATCTCTTCCTTCTTTTTCAGGGGTCAACCGCCCGGGCGCCCGGGTGCCATGACGACTCCGTCCCGATGCGTGGCGCTACCGCCAGGTCTCAACTTCGATCGGCTCTGGAGCGCATTGGGCACCTTGGCTTTCGCCTCATGGGAACAGGTACTGTACTTTGTGGAGACCCCCGACCCCAACCCCACTGGGAATGCTGTGGTTGGATCTGTGGTTTGGGGGGGTTGAATTGATTTGTCCATGGCATAACATGTTCAGTCCCATAGTGTTTGGGATCAATGATTCCATTGGCGTCAGCATCACACCGCCTACGACACACTGGAACCCCCAAGAGTTCCAGGGGCTCTGCAGTGAGCCAGGTCTGACACTCGATTCATGTCGATGCATGGCCAATTTTCCAATGGACCCCATCTTTAATTTACTAACCTATGCCGGATTAATCGGATGCATGTTGAGCCATCGATCCGTACCCTTCAGCTTGAGAACTCCCAAGACACCGTGTCTCTCGATGCATGGTATGATGCATGGTATGATGCGTTCGAGGATGATTTCGCTGAGGAAGTCTTGCCTGATGCCGCTCGCTTGGAGCTGGAGGTGGACCTGGAACGCGACTTGTCGGAGTTTTGGGGCCACGACTGGATGTGCCTGAAGCGACCCAGTGGTTATTTACACAGTAGAAGCCCACGCCCACGCCCATGATTTTCACCCCAGAGCGATGGGTTTTTTCAACCGATTCTGGGATTCCGGGATCTTACTACAGGGCTCTCGAAACGCACGCGCCGGTCTTCCACAGGAGGGGTCAAAATGACCCAGAAAAAAACAAAAACACAACTCCCCTTTGAGGAGCGTCCAGGGCGGAGGTTCCTCACGCATGCATTGGTGCCCGATTCCATCGGCCGACGGGGCCGAAGGCTGAACGCCTCGGATGGAGACCGTTGAGGAGTAATCCCGCCCGCGGCGCCAGAATGGACGTCTCCATCCGTCCGACCTTCCCGTTGGACGATCGTTTTTTCGAAAAGTGACCTGCATTTCTCCCGCGAAGCACCGGTCATGTAGGCCCAAAAAGCTTTGCGCCATCATGGATCGTTTGGGCTGATATGGGGGTGTTGATGAGTTGATGAATCAAGCACCCACACTGCTGGACTCCTTGCCGGGCCCTCTGCTGGACTCCGTCCGCAACCCAGGTGACGGAATGCCCGTCACAGAGGCGATCGGGCCTGTGGCAGTCCGACGGGTGATCGCGAGAGTTGGATCGGGTTTTGTAAAGGATTCCCTACACGTCCAACCATATCCTCAGAAGGTGGTTAAACCATGTTAAACCCCTCAGGAGGAAGTTGGAGGCCTACAGATTGGAGTGTGGTTGACATCGTGGCGAACTCCCTAGAATCAGGGACCAGGGGAAGAGAGGGAAGATGAGGGAAGCGTTTTTGGGACGAGTCGGACCGAGTCGGATGAGCCTTCTTTGGGCATCAAGCTGCGGCCCTGTTGGATGCCACCGCTGCTTTGGAGGTAAGCCCCTGAACTGTTCATTTGCAGCCATTCAGGCCATTCGCCCAATCGGAAAATCTTCCAAGAGAACCCAAGAAGAGAATGGGGCTCTCCTTTTGGAGATGGGTCGAAGAGGATGGCACGGGAGGTTCTCTCCATCGACGTACCACGCTGCAGACATGATTTCTGGGTGCCAAGTGCTTGTGGCAAGATGGAGCAAAAGACCGGGGACGAACGAGCAGGAGTTTCAATGTCTTGCCATGACCGCTCAATCGGTGACAACCAGACCAGAACTGGCAGAAAGCACGAACCGAGTCTGTGATCTTTGTGGCTAACCGTATGTGCTTTCATGGTCTTGATTGGACACACTTCATTCTTTGGGTTGCCCGCTCACTCGCATCCCCCTGTGCCATGCCACATCATGCCACTGGTGATATCTGCTAAACTACCATGCACAAAAAACTATCCTGCGCGTCCTTCGTGCGCAGGTGAAGTATTTGCTCCCTGAATCGCAGGGAGAGGAGATCTTCCTGCACAACTTGTGCGAGGTCCACTGCCCAGGGGTTTTCGTTTCCAAGGTCCAACGAAAGAGGAATCGTTTCTGAAGAGAGACCGTTCTCTTGTGCAAAAACACAAGAGAAGCGAGAGAAGCAAGTCATGCCCCAAACAAGATAAATATTGTGATATAATCTATACATGACATAATTGTTTGGAGTTTCTTTCAGCATCTTGGCCTTTCACTTGGTGCCATGGGTTTGAGATGGTTTGAGGATTGGGGACTGGGCTTGAAGAAACAGCGTGGTCAAGCTGAAGAGCTGGTGAGATTGTGTGCTGAAAATGACAAGTCCACAAATGTTCGCCATATTCCCACCAATTTCCGCCATATTCTGGCAGATGTCCGTCATTAACCCGCAGACCGTTAGTGCAGGTTGCTTCACATCCCAAGTGTGATCCCATGATGACACGTTGGCATGCGAAGAGTTGTATTGCAGAGTGCGCTTTGTAGGGAGACGCCCCAAGTCTGCAGTCTAGTTTTGTGCTTAAAAACACTCATCCACCAGGAGTCACACAGGGGTGGTGTTTAATTAGTCCCTAAGTGAGTGGATAATGGGCACCCCTATCCTCCAATAGGCACCTCTTTGGAACTCCTGGCAACTGTATTTATGTCATGTGTGGTCCAGGTATGTCATGTTTATTGCAAACTGCATATTGTCATGCGAATAGTGAATATGCGGCATATATGGCACGTTTATGTGTCTAGCGCTTTGACTATCGTACTACCCTAGAAGTCCAGTTTCAGTTCGACTGTACTTTCCTTTGTAAAGGAAATTCCGACATCAGGTTACGGTTAGCAGACCATTCCTTTTAAAATCCTTGACTCCCAAGCACAAAAAGGTGAGAACATTTGTTGGGAATTGGGTGGTCCCTACATTGCAGGCCCAAGATTTTGGATGGAATACCTAGGTCTTGACATGTCTTAACAGAGTATACTCATGGTTCTTTATTCCCCACCGAACAGATCTGCTGAGGATTGGGAGAACTTTCGAAATTGGTTTGAACCTGAGGCACGAATGGAGCGCAAGTGCCAAACGAGATGCGGTGACACGAGATGCCGTCCAAGATGCACACTGGTGTTTCGGAAACACACGTTTCAGTGACCAGTGTACGTGCATGCCAGGCCACAAATCAAAACGGGGCTGTCACTTTTTTTGGAACACATTCATTCTTGGGGCCTTGCTCGGATGGCCAGAAGATGCCAGAAGCAAATGGAATAAAAGTCTTGGGGCCTGGATAGAACTAATGTTTGTTCTTCCCACAAGCTCATGATAAAGCTGCACGCAGCGTCAAGGCATACAGTTTCTTCCCCTGCCGCTACCAGTGGATGAATTAAAGACGTCAAAAGAGTGGGAGTTCCCAAATCGAGCAATTCTATGAGATGTGCGTTGCACTTCAAAGTGCTTAAAAGGACCCCCAAAGAGAATCTAATGTATATACTGTATATATATATATAGCTGCCATTGCCGCCAAACTCCTCCAATTCCTCCCCCGAGAGCCACGAAAGTGTCCGAATCCACCACCAAGTCCGTTGTCCAGACTTCCTCTTTTGGCGGCCCCAACACAACGCAAAAGCAACACAACCCCCCACAAGAACATCAACACAGTTCCCGAGGGGTGCTATCCATGGAGGTTAGGGGTACCCAGAACATCCACTCACTTAGCCCTCACTTAGGTACTAAACCGCTTGAGCTCCAAACTATCCTGATAGGTTGACCTGCTAATCTATTCTCCTCATTTTTGATGGTCAGCCAGGGTCCCCCTTGGTTTGACCCACTGCAATATGTAACATTCAAACCATCACATACCATCACCCATCCCTCCAGCCCCTCCGGTCGACTCCGGTCCTCCGGTCAGGTCAACCGTTGCATTCATGGGAATAGCTCCGGCGAGAGCATCTCCTGCGCGTTCCGCCCACCTTTCGGAACTCGCATGAACGGCCACCGCGGCGCAACGGCGGAGGGCGGAGGGCGGTGGAGATCGGTTGGAGGTGTTAACACACTTCCTCCTAAGATGGAAGTGGAGAACTCCTCTGTTGGTAGAGGAGGTGTTTGTCAGATTCTGTTCAGGGGCCATGTTCTGCCATGATTGTTGGAGAGAGGGTATTCAGTGCTGGGGGTTGGCGATGTTTTGGAAAGCACAGTGGAGTTTGGCGAGGAAGAGATGGACAGAAACCTCACGCAAGCTTGGTGATTTCATCGAAGAACCCAGGCAATCAACTCATCAACACGTGCTAAAATATCTAAAATATGACACGGTTCCATGACCTACTTAGGGGTCTATGTCTATCAGATTGACCAAGAGACACAGAGTTCCAACCGGTCTAACCAGGGTGGCTCTTCTCAGCGTGCGCTCCGTGTGTTCCATGTGCTTCGTCGCGTTCGCGGCGAATAGACCTGCTTCGTCGCTCGGTTCGAGATCGGCCTCGTCGGGTCGGGGGATCCGTGATGCCTCGGGTTGATGAGAGGAAGGAAGTGGTGGGAGCAGATGAAACGGCGGCTGGTATGCCTTGGAGTTGTATGACATGTAAGACGTCTAGCAAGTTGTATGGTGAGATCAGACGAGGATCAGAGATGAGAATCAGATGAGGATCAGAGACTTTCAGGGACGTGGACGTGTCTTAAGCCGTCTTGTTCGCCCAAAGACGGCGATGAAACAGGGAGGCATCTGAGGCATTTAACGAGGCCAGGCCCAATCACCAAATGATCATCACCTACACTCAGAACTCACATGGACCCTGAGCAATTGGAGTGCCCCCACTTGGAGTGATAAACATGGGGCGTCTCAACAACCTCCGGTATGATTCCGGTATGATACCATTGAACCATATTGAACCCATAAAGACCGTTTGACATCGCCGATTTGGTGCTGCGTCCTCCACTTTGGGTCGAGGCAGACGTGGCTAAATATGTTTTTCCGAATCCGGGGGCCTTGTGGCTCAAGGGTGTTCCTTGCGTGTGGTTCTTTACTTTCACAGCCAATTGGGTTGTCATTCTATTCAGAAACACCGCAGATCTTCCGTGGATCTGAACATCCACCCCAACTGATCCGGTTGCCTGTCCAAAGGGGGCTAGCCCAAAAAAGCAACGCAGAAAGCAACGAAGAGACCGAGAGTTCCGTTTCCGGATCTTCCGGTTCCCGGGTGGTGCTCATTCTCATCCAGTCATACCTGGCGTTTCATGAATTGGGGTGAGTAGAATGGGTTTCGTCATACCTGGTGAATCCCTTTTTCTGGCGATCCATCTCTTTCTTTCCCGGCGTGGACTCGCCATGGTTTTTCGCACATCCTTCGATCCACTTCGATCCACTGTAGACGCCCTTTTCGCCCTTTTCGTCCATGTCAAAACATCCACCGAGGCCTTTCAACGGTGACTTCGGATGGCTCGAGGCCGAGCAAAGGTCCTTGACAGGAGGTCCATTTCAGGTTTTTGGGGGAAGACAGGAGGTCCATTCCTTCAGTTGGATGTTCCTTCGGGGGGGCGACTCTTGCGGGGTCGGAGCTGTTGGAGCCTACGGTGTTGGAGAGGTGTGCAGCAAAATGCAGTGTCATTCAGAACATCGTGAATTGCGCCAGAGGCACAGAACCCAAGACAAAAATAGATCTACCCCAGTGGATCCCAGTGGATCCATCAGTTGCCACTATATAAGATATAAGGAACCAGGATTTCGTTCAGTTAATGATTTCAGCTTTTTGGATTCACTGGTTGCCAGCTATATATACTAGGTATCTGGATCGCTGGGCTATATTTAATTATATACGACAAATCTTAGTGAAGAACTATTTTGATAGGAAAAGCATGTGCTTTGGCCTTGGGTGGTTGGTGGTCCCAAAATGGAGGTCGCAAAACGGCTCATCCGGTAGATCTATTCCTTCCCAAGATCCATCTGCCGACGGGGTGTGCAAAGGTGGTAGAAGACCTGGTCGTCTGAGATGGGTCCAGCTTCACACAAAAAGGCGATGTCAGTTCAGGGCTTGCAGGGAAATAACGTTTTACAGGTGGTTGAGGCTGGTGGTAGTGGTGGTTGTCGTTTCACAGGCCGTAGGCATACCAGCAGTTTCATGTCGGGATGCCTGGAGGAGGTCGGTGTGCCCAGGCCACATCCACTGGATGGGACTCAGATTCGCTGCACTTCTTCCAGGGGTTCACTACCTGAATTGTGCCACATAGAGAGACCTCTCACTCCCCCTTTGGCCCAAAGGAACAACGAATGTCCATTTGGGATCGCTCTCCTCCCTCTGCGCAAGGCTTCGCCTCACGATAGCTCAACTTACAGCAGAGAAGACCTGAGGACCGATGGCAAGCGAACGTGACCTGGCAAGATCAAGATCCTCACGTGGTGCTTCTGTGTTTTTCTTTGAGGGGAATCGGCTTCAAACGGTTCAATCACCACAACCTGTTGGAGGGAAGAAGATATGATGCCGTGCTGGGGCCCTCCTTTTCGGGGGCAAAAAATGCAGACACCTGGTCACATCCGCCCTGGTCACATCCGACTTCCACTGAATCCAGGCAAAGATAACATAACACATACGAAAACCATCAGGCTCATCTAGCCTGAACCGGGTGTCCTCCAAATAGCAAGTGGGTGTCCTCCAGATGAGCCTCATATTAGACCGAAGTTTGTTATGACATAAAACCATCCCCTTTGACATTTCCTCTATGAAATGGGTGGCCTTGAGGCCCGTATAAAATGTGTGTGTTTCTTTTTTTTAATAGAGAAACATTTTTTGGAAAAAGATGAAGACCTGCAATTTATAGAAAATCAAGGGTCTTCTACTCACCAACAACAAAAACATGTCAGGTATCCTTCCTTTTTATAGAGCGCAAATGTGTGGCATTTCGTTATGGCAGTCAGAGGTGAGAAAACATTTTATAGAGGGAATTTGCGAGAATAAACAACAACAAAACACATTTTATAGAGATAAAGTCTACACATAACGACAGACTCATCAGCAAGACAGACATTTTGTAGGGAAAGATGCCGAAAGAGTAGTGAACAAAATAACACCGTACTTGAATCCATGTCTTGAATCTACATGTATGGATCACAG